ACCCCCACTTAGGTGGAGCCTAATAGCAGACGCTACTCTCCTGTGGACTTCTACCTCCCGCACTCACCCCAGTGTAGACCCCTCCCACAGTTCCCCACACATGATCCCTCACCCGGTTCCACCGTAGACCTCCCTCCACAATCCCCCGCAGGGAGCCTCCCTCGTCCAGGGCGCGCTCCCCACAGTCTGGAGTGGACTTCCTCCCCGCTACTCTTTCTATGTTTATTTTTTTGCACCTGCCACTGCTTCACTTCTCCCCTTCCTTGCTTCACTTTCTCCAGGGTACACAGCCCCCCTCCATGTCATGTCAGACTCATCCTTTCTCCCGTTCCTCACTCCGGGCCACCACCAGCTCTCCGGCTCTTCCGCGTTACCTACCTAGCGGGACGGGGCGGGGCGCGCAGGCTGCTGGGGCCACCCGTGGTTTTGGGTCCCACAGCGCGCGAACACGGAGCTGCACCCCACCCCCACCCTTACCGTCAGCTGAGCTTTAGGGCGGTGGAGCTTTGTTTGCTGCAGATTTCTTGAAATGAAAACGACTTTCCTGTCATTTGAGCAACAAACCCCAAAGAGGTGGCACCCGCAGCCCGGACATTGCTCCTCCCCGTGCCCCTTTTTGGCTTTCCGGCCACCGGCATGCTGGGAACGTCGCATGCAAATTAGGCGGGCACCGGCGCTCCGCCCCCTCTGCGTTGGGCCGTCGCCAGGCCGGCCCAGTGCGCAGGCGCGGGAAAGTTGAACTAAGAGAAGTTTAAAATGTTCAGTGAAACAGGTGAGTGGGGCGTCAGTGAGGGCTGCGGGGAGGAGGGAGGAGAAGAGGGCCGCGATCCAGGAGCTGGACCCCCAGTCCTGTTTCGGCATCCAAGCGTCACGGGTCCCGAAGCGTCCAGCCTTAGACAGTGGAACTACACCTCCCAGCAGGCCGCGCGGCGATCAACTGCGGGCCGAGTGGAATGTTTGCCACGAAGCCTCCTGGGATTGGTAGTTTTCATCCTCTAACGGCTTAAGTAACTTGGCATGTTCTCTCCGAGTCCAGAGTCAAAGCCTCAAGCGTCCTTCTTGCTCGGGGGCCCAGAGGTCCAAGGCACAATCCCCTTTCCTCTCAGACCCCAGAGTTCAGGCTCCCAGCCCCCTCTTTCCTTAGACCCAAGAATCGGGGTCCCCAGCCTCCTCCTCTGCCAGGATCAAGGAATCTTCGTCTTCATCCCTCTCCTCCCTCTGGAGACTCAAGAGCCTGGACCTCCAGACCTCAATTCCCCTCGAGAACCTAGGAGTTCAGACCCTCAGCTCCTTCCCTGCCTTGGCGGCCCCCGAGTCCTGGCCCTCTCCTCATTCACAAACTAGGAATTGGGGACCCAAGCCTTCACTTCTGCTGGACCCTGGAGTTTATCCCTCAGCCCCCTCTCTCACAGGTGCCCCCATGGCAGGCTCGGAAGAGCTGGGGCTCCGGGAGGACACGCTGAGGGTCCTAGCTGCCTTCCTTAAGCGGGGCGAGGCTGCCGGGTCCCCCATTCCAACCCCACCCAGGTAAGAGGAGTTGCTCTCCTCCCGCAGGGGCCTCTGCATGTGGTGTGGGCCGTCTCTAACTCTTGCTCCTGGTCTCAGTCTGTGTCCTTGCCCCTCTCTGTATATCTGGCTCTCTTCCTTGTCCCTGGGGTTGCAGGGAGAGGCCCTGAGTGGGAGAAACAAGGGACTGCTTGCAAGGGGGCTCTGGAGTCACTCTCTGAGGTCCCTTCCCCAGGAGCCCTGCCCAGGAGGAGCCAACAGACTTCCTGAGCCGCCTTCGAAGATGCTTTCCTTGTTCTTTGAGTCGAGAAGCAGTTCCCCCTGAGTCCCCCCGGCCTTGCTCCCTGCCCCTTCGCCCCTGCTACGGTTCGCAGCCTGGTAAGAGGTTTCCCTAGATCACCCATGAACTTGCTCATGCAGAGCCAGGAGCTTAGCTTTGATTCTAAAATATATATACACACACACACACACACACATATATATGTACTATTGATTTCAGAGAGGAAAGGAGAGGGAGAGAGAGAGAGAGAAACATCAATGACGAGAGAGAATCATTGATGGGCTGCCTCCTGCACGCCCCCCACCGGGGATCGAGCCTGCAACCCGGGCATGTGCCCTTGACCGGGAATCTAACTGTGACCTCCTGGTTCATAGATCGATGCTCAACCACTGAGCCAGGCTGGTCGGGCTGGGAGTTTTGATTCTTAATACATCCACAGGATAAGGAATTAGTTCAAGATCACTCAGCTAAGGGTATCTAGGTAGCACCTACCCTCCGTTTTCAATCACAGCTCCTTATCTTTTTGATTACATGACTTGGAAAATCCTTCTCTTCCCTGTTCCTGTGTTTATCCAGTAGCAAAGTAGGAATGGGGAGGAGGAGTCATTGGACTTGATCAAGAGTGACTAACAGCTTTCCTCTCGTGTGAGCCTGGATAGAATAGTAATGGCTACAGGGCGTGCTAGCTTGCAAAGGATTTCCAAGCGAGAGAGAGAGTTCTGTAATCAGCCGGTGATGCCTGAAATGGACAAGGGATAGAGTGGTAATCGCTGGAGTGTCACGTGTTTGCCTTCCTTGGATGGGATCCTCTTCAAGGTCCAGTTCAGCTCTAACACTAAATCCATTTGGGGGGGACACCATAAAGTGGAAAGTACAAGGGTCTTTTGCCAGGTTTGCTCACTGAGCCACCATTTACCCCGTTATGGAATGGAAATCACTGCTACCGGGCAGGGTGGTTGGGAGGAGAGAATCCATCACTTCCTGATCTCCTGGAGACCTGTCAATGTCTCTCTTCACCCCAGGCCCAGCGACTCCAGACTTCTATGCCCTCGTGGCCCAGCGGCTGGAACAGCTGGTCCAAGAGCAACTGAGATCCCCTCCGAGCCCAGGTGAGGGCAGAGGGGCCCTGCAGAAAGATGAGGGCAGAAGGGTGGCCAGGTTTCTGCCCCCAACCAAATTCTCTTCTGTCCCCCTAGAGTTACAGGGTCCCCCACCCACCGAGAAGGAAGCCCTGCTGCGGAGGCTGGTGGCCTTGCTGGAGGAGGAGGCAGAAGTCATCAACCAGAAGGTGATGGTCGTCCTTAGCTAGGATAGGAATTGCTTTATGATTGGGCACTGGGGTCAGAAGCTGGATCTACATTCTCATTGGGTGGCCAGTTGGGAGAGGGTAGGACAAGGCTTTAATGAATGACAGAGGTATGGCCAGGGCAGTACCTTAAATTGGGGGCTTGCATTGTTTGTTAGAGGGCGTGGCCTAAAGTAAGGGGTGTGGCCATCAGAAACATGATTTAGGGAAGAGAGGAGCCAGTTGAAGTAAGGCAGTGGTTCTCAACCTTCCTAATGCCGCGACCCTTTAATACAGTTCCTCATGTTGTGGTGACCCCCAATTTCATTGTTACAAATTGAATATAATTAAAGCATAGTGATTAATCACAACAAAATATGTAATTATATGTGTGTTTTCCGATGGTCTTAGGCGACCCCTGTGAAAGGGTCATTCGACCCCCAAAGGGGTCACAGGTTGAGAACCACTGAAGTAAGGGAATATATGATGGTGGGAGTGGGATGTGGTTTGAGAAGACGTAAAGTCTGAAATCCTGACAATGTAGGGGCGTGGCTTAGAATGTGGGGGGAAATGTCCTGCCGGAGGAGGTGTGGTTTGTGTCCTGAAGTATGATTGGCCTATTAATTGTAGATTGAAGGCTAGAAGATTAGCACTCTAGGGCGCAGTTAAAGTATTGCTTGGCCCTATTCGCTGTCAGGTCTGGGCAGGGGCGTGGCTTAGCTTCTTGGGTTCTAGGCCACCTTCCTGTGAGTAGTTTGGCAGAAACCATGGAATCTGGTTTATGATTGGCTGATGTGATGGGTTGGGGCAGGGCGCGGCGGTTCTCACCCTGGGGGTCTCAATCCCTTTGGGGGTCGAAGGACCCTTTCACAGGGGTCGCCTAAGACCATCAGAAAACACAAATATAATTACATATTTTGTTGTGATTAATCACTATGCTCTAATTATGTTCAATTTGTAACAATGAAATTGGGGGTCACCACAACAAGAGGAACTGTATTAAAGGGTCGCGGCATCAGGAAGGTTGAGAACCACTGGCTTAGAGCTTTAGTATCGAGAAGTCCCTTACACCAGAAAGCCACCCCCACGCCCCCAGCCTCCTATTGGCTGGCCACCAGGGCGGACCCTGCCTCTTCCCCTGTCCACCCCACAGCTGGCCTCGGACCCTGCCCT